AGCCTAGTAAAAGAGCCTCGTAAAAGAGCCTCGTAAAAGAGCCTCGTAAACGAGCCTAGTAAAAGAGCCTCGTAAAAGAGCCTCGTAAAAGAGCCCCGTAAACGAGCCCCGTAAACAAGAGTCGTAAACGAGCCTAGTAAAAGAGCCTAGTAAAAGAGTCTCGTAAACGAGCCTCGTAAAAGAGCCTCGTAAAAGAGCCTAAAAAATATTTGAAATATGCTCTTGAAATTTGAGTATATTATTTTTAAATGTATAGTCTATCGAAATATGCAAAAAAAGAAAGTGGTGTCTTTTAAATAGGGCCCGTGTTTTGTTAATTTTTACTAATTGCAAAAAAAAAAAAAAAAGATTGATAAATCCTTTGATTTATTTTTCCTTCAAACTTTTCAAATTAACCACGCGAAAACAACAACTTTAACGATACTTTTACTTAGTCTTATTAAACCGACTCATCGTGATCAAGAATTCTACGATGTTTATAAAAAGAAAAAATGTGTAGATACTTATCGTTAAAATGGTGAAATCGTGATTTGTATATATATATATATATATATATATAATTGTATGTAACATATACACATAAGTAAAGACATTACTTTTACTTCCTGAACTCTTCTACACATTTCTATACACACACACACACACAGACAAACACATTAAAAATCCACGAAGTTTTGTAATTTTGAATTAGACAGGTAATTACAATACTCACGAATTGTTGTTGTCCATTTTGAAATTGTATAAAATACAGATGAAAAAAAAATAAGGAAAAGGAATATCTCGAGTGGACGGACGTTCCACAAGTATAATCTCGAAAAAGAATAGATTTGTATAGATGAATGATGTATGTCAAAGATCAACGTCTACAAAATAAGTTACGTCAGATTTTTGTACATTTCACATGAAGAATAGTCAAACCAATCCTCATAATTGCAATAAAATAAGCAACCGGTGGTATACGTAATATTACATGGTATATAAATACGCAAGAATGACATCAAAAATTAACATTTTCAATGTTTCAAATCTTTAAAACATTTATATGAAGATTTTAATAATATTTTAACATAAATATCATTTAATATTATAAATCCCAAATTTATATATATATATATATATATATATATATATATTATATTAACTATACCATTTTATTTATATATATATTTTATCTAATTATATTTAATATAATATAGTATATTAACTGTGTGTACTATTTCATTTATTTATATTTCATTTAATATAATTTAATATATAATATAATTAAATATAATTAATAAATATAAATATAATTAATAAATATAAATATAATTATTAATAATAATATAATTAAATATAATTTAATATAATAT